GACGGGGTTTCACCATGTTGACCAGGATGGTCTCGATCTCTTGACCTCGTGATCCACCCGCCTCGGCCTCCCAAAGTGCTGGGATTACAGGCTTGAGCCACCGCGCCCGGCCCTTGTTGCTGTTTTTGAGATGGAGTCTTGCTCTCTCTCCCAGGCTGGAGTGCAGTGGCAAGATCTCAGCTCATTGCAAGTGCTGGGATTTCAGGCATGAGCCATCAGGACCAGCCCAGCAGGTTCTTTTCATTGTAGATGTGAGATCTTGTTATGTTGCCCAGGCTAGTCTTGAACTCCTGCTTTGGCCTCCCAAAGTGTTGGAATTACAGGCGTGGGCCACCATGCCTGGTCCTAGACTTTCCTTGTCTTTTTTATGAACTTAACAGTTTTAAAAAGTACTGGTCAGGTATTTTTTATAGAATGCCCTTCAACTTGGGTTTGTCTGATGTTCTACTCATGATCAGATTGAGGTTGTGAGTTTTGGGGAGAAAGACCACACAGGTAAAATGCCACTCTCATCACATAACAAGTGTACACTGAGAAAGTTTTGTCATTTCCCCACTGTGTTCTTTTTCCTCTCCCCTTTCCATATGTATTCTTTGAAAGGAAATCACCATGTGCAACCCACACGTAAGGGGTGGGGAATTAAGTTTTGCCTCCTTGAGGGTAGAATATGTACATAAATTATTTGGAACTCTTCATGGGAGATTTGTCCATTTTCCATCATTTATTCAATCATTTATATCAGGAGAAACTTACAGACATTTATTTTATACTTTGAGTATTAGTATGAAATACTAATACTTATATTTACTGGTTTTGGGCTTTTGGGTGCTCTTTCTGTTGGCCCTGGTGTCCACTTGGCACATCCCCATTGTTTGTTTGTTTGTTTGTTTTAACACTTCATTACTTTCTGGCATTTAATTTTTTCTTCCAGGCACTTGTTTTTAATTTCCTGTCACTTCTTTTTTTTTGACAAGCTTTTTGGATGTTTCTCAGGCACACTACATTTAAACAGGTATTGACAGAAGAGCTTCCTATTTTTGAGATCTTAAGAGTCACATGGGGCCCTTATTAAGAGTTTTGTGCCTCTTCTCTGAAGATTCTGATTTAATAGCTCTGGAGTGAGCCCTAAGGATCTGGAATTTATAACAAGTATCTCCAGATGGTTCTTACAATCAGGAATGTTTGGTAAACAGGAACTTAAGGTCATTTTAATTAAGACTTCTGAGTAAAGTTTAATTTAGATAGATAACCACAATTGGTAGGATTGGAAGAATAAGTCTCTGTAGTTGAAATTCCAAGTGTTTTCAAATGCACTATTGCATTTAATCCTCATTATTCAGATACAAAGTAGGAAGAACATTTTATAGGTGAGGAGAGTGAAATCCCAAATAAGAAAGTGGCTTTCCTAAGATTGCACAGTGGAGTGCACCACCATACCATGGTCAATAGGCAGAGACAAAAAGCAACACACAATCTCTTGTGTTTTGGGATTTGGAATAGCATTACTAAGTAAGATGACTAAAAAGATAGGATGTCAGTCTGCTGATAGGACTGAATTTTGAGCAATAAAGATTTATAATCTCACAGTAAAATTGATGTACCTAAGCAAGCCATGTTTCCAGTACTTTTTCTTCCATCAAAGTGTACCATGTTCGTATTTTTTTGAGTGACAAGTATGTGCCAAGTATAGCCTGCTCTTTTAACTTCTTTTTAACTGGTTCATTTTTCAAAAATCTAGACAGGCCAGGTGTGGTGGCTCATGCCTGTAATCCCAGCACTTTGGAAGGCCAAGGTGGATGGATCACTTAAGGAGTTCGAGACCAGCCTGCAACATGAGACCCCATCGCTACAAAAATTAGCTGGACATGGTGTCACATGCTTGTAATCCCAGCTACTCAGTTGGCTGAGGCAGGAGAATCACCTGAACCCAGAAGGCAGAGGTTGCAGTGAGCTGAGACATCACTACTACACTCTAGCCTGGAAGACAGAGTGAGACTTTGTCTCAAAAAAAAAAAAATTGAGATATAAATCTCCATGAGTTTCCCACAACTGCCATAACCAAGTACCACAAACTAACTTGCTTTAAGCAACAGAAATTTATTCTCTCACAGTGTTGAAAGCTAAAAGTCCAAAATCAAGATGTTGACAAGACCATGCTCCTCCCCAAACCTCTAAGGGAGGATCCTTCCTTGCTTTTTTCAGCTTTTGATAGCCCCAGACATTCCTCTGCTTATGGCAACATAACTGCAATCTCTGCTTCTGCTTCACATGGTTATCTTTTTTCTCTGTGTTGTGTTTCTTTATCTTCACATGGGACATGGGGTAGGGTCCTCTTTTTGTAAGAACTCCAGTCAGATTGGATTAGTGACCCACTCTATTCCGATATGACTTCATCTTAACTATTTATATCTGACTCCTCATATCCATTAGCAATCACTGCCCATGCCCCTGTTTCCAATGCCTAGCAACCACAAATCTACTTTCTGTCCGTATGGATTTGCCTATTCATGGGCATTTCCTGTAAATAGGAAAATCCAAACATAGACATTTTATGTAAATAGAATCATATAATAAGAAGGCTTTTCTGTTTGGCTTCTTCTGTTTTCTTTTTTTTTTTTTCAAGACATAGTCTCACTATGTTACCCAGGCTGGAGTGCAATGGTGCTATCTTGACTCACTGCAACCTCTGATTCCTAAGTTCAAGGGATTCTACCTGCCTCAGTGTCCTGAGTAGCTGGGATTACAGGCGCATGCCACCACACCTGGCTAAATTTTGTACTTTTAGTAGAGATATCACTATGTTGGCCAGGCTGGTCTTAAACTCCTGACCTTAGGTGATCTGCACACCTCAGCCTCCCAAAGTGCTGGGATTACAAGCATCAGCCACCATGACTGGCCAGATTCTGTTTTTACGGTTCATCTACACTGTAGTGATAGCAGCAGGAGGCAGACAAATGCCTAGGCAGATAGGGGCGGGTCAATGGTGAAACCCCACCTTCAAGCCAAAAATAGTCCAAAGGCTGAAAGACTGTAATACTGGTTCCAGATGAAACCTGCAACCCAGAGTGAGAACTTCTGTTCCTATTTGCCCACCCTTTCCTGATTGGTTCTTTCTGAATAATGCTTTTCAACCAATCAAATGTTACCTTTTCTAGCATTGCCTATGGCCTTCCCCTTCCCCATCGTGTGCCTATAAAAACCCCCAGACTCAGCCATACTGGGGGAGAGGACCCAGCCTTCCAGTCCCCTCTCTGCTAAGAGCTGTTTTGTTGCTCAAGAAAATTCTCTGCCCTCATCACCCTTCAATTGTCAGTGTGACCTCATTCTTCTTGGATGTGGGACAAAAATTCAGGACTCACCAAAGGCAGGTACTCAGAGGGCTGTAAACATTATGGCCCTCTGCCCTCCACCAGCAGAGGGCAGCCTCCCTGCACCACGGGAAGCAATGGCAGGGCCAAGCCAGGCACGGAGCCAAGGCCCAGAGCCAGGCAAGGGCCTGACCAAGCTATTAACATGCTGCCATCCCTCAAGCTATAGATGGTGGGACTAAAAGAGCTACTTAGCACATTGTAACGTCTCTGGTGGGGCTTTAGGGTTGTGGGCACTCCTGCCTGGGCACCACTGCATCCCCCTGGGGACACGCCTGGTCTAGCTACAAGCCCTGCATGGAGCCCACCCCTGTGCTGATGTTTGGAATGGCTGGTCAGACCCCATACTCACTTACCCACACATTCCCTCCTGCCAAGAGTTGAGAATGTAGTTGCAGCAGCAGCAGTGGGAGCCATGGGCTGGAATGCAAGCCACACATGGCCCAGTGGGCCAAGCAGTTGGGACATCCCCTGCTACAAACCTGGCAAATGGGTCCAAGAAAAATCCTGTGTCTGTAGCATGTATCAAGTGCCTCATTCCATTTTATGGCTGAGTAATATTCCACTATTTGGTTATAACACATTTTGTTTATAGACTCATCAGTTTGGGAGACACTTGGGTTGTTTCTACTTTTTGTTTGTTATGAATAATGCTGCTATAGATGTTCATTTACAAGTTTGTGTGTGAACATTTTGATTTTTTCATACCGAGGAGTGGAATTGCTGAATCATATCATAATTACGTTTGTTTCTGTTTTGTTTTTTGAGACAGAGTCTTGTTCTGTCACCCAAGCTGGAGTGCACTGGTGTGATCTCGGCTCACTGCAACCTCCACCTCCTAGGTTCAAGCGATTCTCCTGCCTCAGCCTCCTGAGTAGGTAGGATTACAGGTGCATACCACCACACCCAGCTAATTTTTGTATTTTTTTTTTTTTTTAGACAGAGTTTCGCTCTTGTTACCCAGGCTGGAATGCAATGGCGCGATCTCGGCTCACCGCAACCTCCGCCTCCTGGGTTCAGGCAATTCTCCTGCCTCAGCCTCCTGAGTAGCTGGGATTACAGGCATGTGCCACCATGCCCAGCTAATTTTTTGTAGTTTTAGTAGAGATGGGGTTTCACCATGTTGACCAGGATGGTCTCGATCTCTTGACCTCGTGATCCACCCACCTTGGCCTCCCAAAGTGCTGGGATTACAGGCTTGAGCCACCGCGCCCGGCCTAATTTTTGTATTTTTTAGTAGAGACAGAGTTTCACCATGTTGGTCAGTTTGGTCTCAAACTCCTGACCTCATGATCCACCTGCCTTGGCCTCCCAAAGTGCTGGGATTATAGGTGTGAGCCACCGTGCCTGGCCAATTATGTTTAATTTCTCACCAGTTAGAGACCTGTTATACAGCATGGTGGCTACAGGTAATGACAATATATTGTACTTTTTAAAAAATTCAAATAGAGTGGTCAGATGTCTTGGTGCACACCTGTAGTCCCTGCTTTTCAGGAGGCTGAGGTGGAAGGATTGCTTCGGCCCAGGGAGATTGAAGCTGCAGTGAGCTATGATCATACCAGTGCACTACAGCCTGGGCAACAGAGCACGACCTGTCTCAAAAAAGAAAAAAGGTAAATAGAGTGGATGATAAGTGTTCTTACCACAAAAGTGACAATTATGTAAGGTAATGCATTTGTTAATTAGCTAGATTTAATTATTCCATAATGTATATATACTTCAAAACATTGTGTTCTACACAATACATACAATTTTCTCTGCTAATTAAAAAAAATAATCAACAACGTACAGAGGTTGTAATTTTTCTACATCCTCCCCAGTGCTTGTTATTGTTTGTTTTTTTTTTTAATCATAGCTGTGAAAGGAAAATAAATCTTGGGGCCTCAAAATCACTAAGCTAAACGGTAAAGTCAAGCTGGGAACTGCTTAGGGCAAACCTGCCTCCCATTCTACTGAAAGTCACCCCTCTGCTCACTGAGATAAGTGCACATCTGATTGCCTCCTTTGGAGAAGCTAATCAGAAACTCAAAATAATTTGAAAAAAATTTTCTCTTACCTATAACCTGGAAGCCCCTTCCTGCTTTGAGTTGCCCTGCCTTTGCTTTGAGTTGTCCCCTTTTCCAGGCTGAACCAGTATTCATCTCATGTATGGCTTTTTGTTTTTGTTTTTGTGTTTTTGAGACATAGTCTTGCTCTGTTGCCAGGCGCCAGGCTTGAGTGCAGTAGTGCAATCTTGGCTCACTGCAACCTCCTTTGTTCAAGCAATTCTCCTGCCTCAGCCTTCCGAGTAGCTGGGACTACAGGTGCGCACCACCATGCTCAGCTAATTTTTGTATTTTTTAGTAGAGACAGGGTTTCGCCATGTTGGCCAGGATGGTCTTGATCTCTTTACCTTGTGATCCTCCCACCTCGGCCTCCCAAAGTGCTGGGATTATAGGCATGAGCCACTGCGCCCAGCCCATCTTATGTATGTTGATTGTATCTCATGTCTCCCTAAAATGTATAAAACCAGACTGTGCTCTGACCACCTTGGGCATATGTCATCAGGACCTCCTGAGGCTGTATCATGGGTGCTTGCCCTCAACCTTGGCAAAGTAAACTTTCTAAATTAACTGAGACCAGTCTTGCATATTTCAGGTTCACATTTTGGTAACCACAAAGGGATTCTGAATGGAGGTACACCTGACCTTTGACAAATCTCCTGTGGGTGCTTGGTATCAGCATGAGCTAACTTTATGATTCAAACCAATAGGACAGTTTGCTGAGATCTGGGAGCACCCCCTGCAGAGGATTCCTGATCTCCCAAAATTTGGTTGAGATCTAAAGTTTATTTTGCTGTATAACTCCTGCACCCCCACACCTTTTTTTGTTTGTTTGTTTGTTTTACTTGCTTCTAAAAGGAATGCAAGATTTCTTGCTTCCATGATGGAAGGCAAGTAACTCCTTTATGGAATTTGAGTTTGCTCCCAGCAGGGAAGACGAGTTCAAATTTTTTTCCTGCTTTAAGGATGGTAAGGAGCAGTCTTTAGCCTGAGACTTATCTGTAGGTAAGTAGCTGAATTGTCTTGGCTGAAGTTTAACAACCAGCTGGTCTTAATTTCTCCTTATCATTAGAGCACTCAGTGACCAAGTCTACCTGGCTTCGTTAAACAAGAGGGAATTCCAAAGCCTCAGTAATTTGGCTAAAATTCCTTGTAGCCGCAAAAGAGGAAAAAAAACAAAACAAAACATGTGTTTGGTTTCTGTGTTTGCTTCCTCCTTAAAAAAAAATGTTCTTTCGTTTACTTTTCTTCCACACTATACCTTCTTCCCTCGTTGCCATCTGCAGTACCAAAAAATCTAGAGAAGGCTTCTAATAACTTGAACCCCTTTAAAGAATTCAGAACAAGGCACTACTGACCCCTTTTAGGGTGTTCTGTTTTCCTTGTGGCATTTCAAGAGTCATGGGCAGATTCTTCTTAGGTCTAAAGCCCTGTTTTCCTGTATTACATAAGCTGACCTCTTTGGCTTTGCAGGCACTAGAGATGACCTTGTACTGTGAGAGGATTTGACCCTGGCATGTGAAATGACGAACAAGAGCTAGAAAGATAGGGGTGGCGGAACACAGTTTATAGGAAGTGGTCGTGGCTGGGTTTTTTTTTTTCTTTCCTCTCCTAGGAAGTTGTTTAAGGATCCTAAGTTCAGAGATGCATTCTAAAGGGTCTTCTCTATTGCTTTTTCTCCCAAAATTAATATTTGGCTTGTCTGTGAACATTTGCCTGAGAAACTGAACTGTTGTTTTCATAGGTAAATGAGGTACTGAGTTTTCTCAGTTCAAAAGAAAAAGGGCATTTTCCCCCTCCCAGACAAAAGGAGCCCCTGGGTGATTGGGGGCCTCATGGTAGCGTCTGGGGGATTGACCCTCCAAACGATGTGCAATGTCCCTACAGGGAAATCCCAACAAAACTTAATTTTTCTTTTCTTTTTTTTTTTTTTTTTTTTTTTGAGACGGAGTTTCGCTCTTGTTACCCAGGCTGGAGTGCAATGGCGCGATCTCGGCTCACCGCAACCTCCGCCTCCTGGGTTCAAGCAATTCTCCTGCCTCAGCCTCCTGAGTAGCTGGGACTACAGGCACGCACCACCATGCCCAGCTAATGTTTTGTAGTTTTAGTAGAGACGGGGTTTCACCATGTTGACCAGGATGGTCTCGATCTCTTGACCTCGTGATCCGCCCGCCTCGGCCTCCCAAAGTGCTGGGATTACAAGCGTGAGCCACCACGCCCGGCCAAAAATTAATTTTTAAAAAAGGCAGCTGGGTGTGGTGGCACATGCCTGTAATCCCAGCACTTTGAAAGGTTGAGGTGGGCAGATCACCTGAGATCACGAGTTTGAGACCAGCCTGGCCAACATGGTGAAACTCTGTCTCTAATAAAAATATAAAAATTAGCTGAGTATGATAGCAGGTGCCTGTAATCCCAGCTACTCAGGAGGCTGAGGCAGGAGAATTGCTTGAATCTGGAAGGCAGAGGTTGCAGTGAGCTGAGATCATGCCACTGCCCTCTAGTGTGAGTGACAGAGAAAGATTCTGCCTCGAAAAAAAAAAAGAGAAAAAGAAAAAGACTTGTCCAGGAAACGTATATGAGGGCTGATCACCCAGCCTTTTGAGCCCTCTCAGAGGTCATAGAACTCTGGAAAGAGAAACTGAGATACATAAGAGGGTGGAAACAACTCAGTAGTGACACACTATGGAGTCCTGCCCACTAGCAGTACACATCAATCCACCACACAAAATCCTTACGCCACAGCTCAGTTCCTCCTTTTACGAAAATAAGTAGGAAATGGCCGGGCGCGGTGGCTCATGCCTGTAATCCCAGCACTTTGGGAGATGGAGGTGGGTGGATCACAAGGTCAGGAGTTTGAGACCAGCCTGGTCAACATGGCAATACCCCGTCTCTACTAAAAATGCAAAAATTAGCCTGGCGTGGTGGCAGGCACCTGTGATCTCAGCTACTTGGGAGGCTGAGGCAGGAGAACTTGAACTCAGGAGGCAGAGTTTGCAGTGAGCCAAGATTGTGCCATTGCACTGCAGCCTGGGTGAATAGAGCAAGAGCCCATCTCAAATAAATAAATAAATAAATAAAAGATAAAGAAAAGAAGTAGGAAACAAATAATCTAATAATAAGGAGAAAACAAGGAGAATGGCCCACTTTCAAGTAATCTGTAGATTTCATGGCACCTCTACTTGCCAGAGTTTATGTAAAATGGAATTAGTATGGTCTTTGTGCACATTTACATAAAGGAAAAAGAGCCCTAAGATATGTTTTGGGAAAGGACTGTTATCTTTGTTTCAAAGCTAATCTATAAACTAGGTTCCTCCCAAAGTTAGTTTGGCCCATTCCTAGGAATGAAAAAGGACAGCTTGGAGTTTAAAAGCAAAATGAAGTCAATTACCTCAGATCTTTTTCACTGTCTCAGTTATAATTTTGCAGTGGTGGTTCCATAACTTTCACATTTTTCATAAATAATCTGGGTAAATAATTAAAATAATTAGGTAAATACAACAGGATCAATACTTGTAGACAAACTTGTTATAACTTAGAATCTAAAGTTATATTAAATAATATGGCCTGGCACAGTGGCTCATGCCTGTAGTCCCAGCACTTTGGTAGGCTGAGGTGGGAGGTTCACAAGGTCAGGAGTTCAAGACCAGCCTGGCCAACATAGTGAAACCCCATCTTTACTAAAACTACGAAAAGAATTAGCCAGGCCTGGTGGCAGGCACCTGTAGTCCCAGCCACTTGGGAGGCTGAGTCAGGAGAATCACTTGAACCCAGGAGGCAGAGGTTGCGGTGAGCTGAGATCACACCACTGCACTCCAGCCTGGGCAACACAGCAAGACTCTGTCTCAAAATAATAATAATAATAATAATAAATAGATATTTTATTATTTGAGTATTTTCCAATAAAATTATAGAAAAATATTCTTTCTAAAAAAAAAGTGTGTCCTTTTTAAAAGGTGAAAAAGTTGGGCCGGGTGCGGTGGCTCACGCCTGTAATCCCAGCACTTTGGGAGGCCGAGGCGGGTGGATCACGAGGTCAAGAGATCGAGACCATCCTGGTCAACATGGTGAAACCCCGTCTC